GTCGGAGACCGCCGATCAGCGCTTCGTATTCGGCTTCGTTGTTGGATGCATTAAACTCTAGACAGAAGCACTGCTCGAGAAGTTCTCCGATGGGAGATTCCAATAGAATGCCGATACCAGCTCCGAAGCGTGACGATGCTCCGTCGACGTGTAGCGTCCATATTTCTGAATTTGCCGGGTCGGCGCTTAAGAGCTCTGGTGATAGTTCGATCAAAAAATCTGCCAAAACTTGTGATTTCGCAGAAGTCCGCGTTCGATACTCGATATCAAACTCGGAAAGCTCGATTGCCCACTTCGCCATGCGGCCGGACTGCGTCGGGCTGTGCAAGATCAAACGAAGAGGTTGGCTGGTCATGACGGCAATGGAATGAGATTGAAAATAAGGTCGTAGTTTCCTTGAAGCGACGACCACAGCAAGAGCGAGTTTTTCTAAGGTCGGGTAGCGAGCTTCAGCACCATCCAAGGTTTTGCTGAAGTAGAAGTATTGCTTCTGCTCTCCACGGTCCTCTCGAACCAAGACTCTACTGATTGCCGCGCTAGTGACCGTAACGTAGAGTAGCAGAGTGTCGCCGTACTCCGGTTTGGCCAGGATCGGTGGTGTCGAAAGGTAGGTTTTGAGCTGTACGAATGCGTCTTCACACTTTTCGTCCCATTCGAATCGCTTGTTGCCTCGTAGGAGTTGATAGAAGGGAAGACACTTATCTGTAGATCGGGATATGAATCTGTTTAGCGCGGCTTTTCTTCCTGTTAGGCGCTGAACTTCGCGAGTGTTAGTTGGCGAGGGTAGCTCCAAAATTTCAGAGATCTGCTTAGGATTGGCTTCGATGCCACGCTGAGTGACCAAGTATCCTAGAAATTCACCGGATGTGACTGCGAAGGTGCATTTTGCAGGGTTGAGTTTCATGCCGTAGTGGTTTAGTATGAGGAAGCATTCTCGCAGATGGATGATGTGGTCAGCTGCTTTAGCTGATTTGACTAGCATATCATCTATATATACTTCCATCGTCTTCCCAAGCTGGTCGGCGAACATTTTGTTGACCAGGCGCTGGTAAGTGGCTCCAGCGTTTTTCAAACCAAATGGCATGACTTCGTAGCAGTAGGTGCCCCGATCTGTTATGAATGCGATCTTCTCGCTGTCGTCCGGATCCATGAGAATCTGATTATATCCTGAGAATGCATCCATAAAGGAGAGTAGCTCGTTGCCTGCTGTAGCCTCGACGAGCTGATCAATACGAGGAAGAGGGAAACTGTCCTTCGGGCAAGCTTTGTTAAGGTCGGTGAAATCCACGCAGACCCACCACTTGCCGTTTTTCTTTTTGACGACCACCGGGTTGGCGAGCCAATCCGGATACTTTACTTCGGTGATTGATCCGGCCTTCAGGAGTTTATCTACTTCATCGTGGACGGCTTGTGCTCACTCAGGTCCTAACTTTCGTCGCTTCTGTTTGATCGGCTTGAAGGTTGGGTGGACGTTCAATTCGTGACTCGTTATTCGGGGGTTAATGCCCTTCATGTCGGCCATGGACCACAGAAACGTTGCGACGTTCTCTCGAAGGAAACTTATCAGCTCGTCCTGTATGCTAGGCAATAGTTTCGTGCCGATACCGACGCAACGTTCCGGGTGGGCAGCATCGATGTTGACCTGGGTGATAAGATCGCTCTTCGGCTGTTCATCGTGATGAACGATCCGTGGGTCAAAGTCGCTACTACTACCGATCACGAACGTTGATGCCTTTCGGGCGCGCTTGTTGTCGATGTAACAATGTCGGAACACTGTCTGGTCACCACGGATGGTGATGACACGGCCCCTGATCGGCATCTTGATGCATTGATGGTAAGGAGAAGGGACGGCTCGCATGGCGTTCAGCCATGGTGTTCCAAGGATAGCATTGTAGATCGCAGGTCAGTCAATAACCTCGAATTTAACCGTAATTGACTTCCCGCGTATGGTGACAGGCATCGTTATAGTTCCTATTTTCGAAATCGAGTCTCCAGCGAATCCTGTGAGTGGTGATGGTGCGACTTTGATGTCCCGCTCGGGGATACTCATCTTGTGTAGAGTATCTATGAAGATGAGGTCGACCGAACTTCCAGTGTCGATCAACACTTTGGAGACGTCGTCCTCTTCGAGTCGTAGTGAGATGACGAGTGGATCGTTATGAGGTCGGTCGATGTCACGCGCATCTTGCTCTGTGAATGTGATCGGTAGGTCGTCCTTGAACAGTAGTGGTGCGTCCTTCGGGGGATTGGCTGCCTTCCGTTCGTGCCGTTTGATTGAATTTATCGAGTCGGTGCATGAGAGGAGCCTTCCCATGATCATGTTGATCTGCCGACGTGGTGAGCTTGGAGGTGTGTGATCATCTTCACGGTCACTCTTTGCTTCCTTGCCCTTGCGTTTAGAAGAGCGATCGGTGTTATCTCTTCTGTCGCGATCGTCATCGGGTCGCCTGTCCTCATCGTCGGATCGTCGTGAACTCCGGGGTTCTGGAAGGGTGATCTCGCCATCGTCCCATCTCTTCCTCAAGAGGGCTGGGAGGGTACGGCAATCATCGGTATGATGACCGTGCGCCCTATGGTATTTGCACCACGGCTTTTTGCTATCGGGGTCTCTGTCGCTCGAGCGGTCCCACACGTTCCAAGGCTTTTTTGGTCGTGCAACTGTGTTGATGCTCTTGCGATTCTTGTCATCCTTGTCGTAGTGCTGACGGGGCTCTTTGTAATCTTCCTGACTCGATCTACCTTTCTTGTCGCGCGAAGATTTCTCATCGACCAACTTGGCCTTGGCCTTGGCTGCCCGATCCTCCTCGACTCTGATGTACCCGGATGCCTTGTGCAAAGCATCTTCGAGGGTTTTAGTTTTTCCCGTCTTCAATCGTTCACAAAACGATGAATCATCCTTAAAATTCTTGATAAGAATGTTGAAACACAGTTCGTCCGACAGACTGCACTGGGAGACGATCGATCGGAACCGATCGATAAAATCGCGCAGTGACTCCGTGTCGCCCTGGACGCATGCCCATAGATCGAGCGCTGTGGACTCCGTGTCGATGTAGATCGAATAATGCTTCAGGAACCGAGCTGTGAGCTCCTTGAAGCTGTCGATGGAGTTCTTGGGAAGCTGTGAGAACCAAGTGAGGGTGCTTCCGGAGAGTGTCTCCACGAAGTACTGACAGAGGCATGCTTCCCGTTCCTCATCGGTGAAGCGAGAACGTCCCATGACAGCGTTGAACGCGGTCAGATGTCGCTTCGGGTCTGTCGTACCGGTGTAGCTTGGAGGTAGCTTCATCCGGCCTATGTCCTTGAGAGGAGTGCTGGTGATGGCCGATGTGAACGGGGTCTGTTGGGTCTCCTGGAGGATCTTGTCCAGCTCTGGTGCTGAGGTTGTTGCCTTGTGGATCTTGCTGTGGATATCGTCAAGGCGTTGGTGGAGAAGGTCAAGCTCTGAGGCCGTCGTCGGGTCGGTACCTGCGGTATTGCGCGACGAACGAGTGTTTGAGCCTTCTGCCTGTGCTCTCCGCAGGTTGTCTGTCGGTGTCGTGCCGAACAGGTTGTTGACTAGCCTGGTCGTATCTGTGTTGCGGATCGGAGGGCGGGGAGGGGTGATTAGATCGGCCTGCTCTTGGGTATGAACTCTAGAGTTGAGAAGCTGATCTAGGTCTTCTCTGTAGGCTATCTGCTCGGCACGGAGGGATTCGAAGTGAGCATCCATCCCTTGCTGCAACTGCTCTGCGACCGACCTGATGATGGTGGCCATATCGATGGGAGGTGGCTGTGGTAGGCCGGTCGTGTTTGTGCCACCAGTCTGATCGACCTGATCTGTCCCGATGTTCCGCGCGGTAGTTGTGTTGTCTTTCTGATCGGTCTGGTGGCCCATCGGAGGTCCGGTGGCTGGGTCGACGACCAGATCCTGGGTGTTTCTTGTCGGATCGGAGGCTCCTCCGGTGAGGTCGGTAATGTTGATCGGTGTTTCAACCATCTTCGAACTCCGTTCTAAGTCAAAGATTGCTCTTTTAATTCCCCTCAGACGGCGCCAACTGTGAAAACTCAAGTTCGATCTACAAAAGAACTAGGGTTTGAGGGTTTTAAAGAGATCTTTTATTAGAAGAAGCCGGAGCTTGATAGAATACAACAGTGTTTAGGTTGTCGGAATAAGAACGCCGACCTAAAACTCTTAAGGAAAGTAAACCAAAAGCTAGAACAATCTGATTGCTTAGTTTGCTCTAGGTCTTGATCAATGATTTTCAGATGTTTTGAGAAGTCGAGGTCTTCCTGCATTTATAGCCGATCAGGTCGGTCTTCAACCTGTTTGGAATAGGAAACTCTTGTCGGCAAGGAGTTTCCTTTTTCTCTGGATCATCAATAAATGGAAGATTTCTATTTATGTTGTCGACCTGGAACTTGTTAGACGGGCCGATTAGAATTCATATCGGGCTTGTTAGAGACGGCACGAATCTCATCTCTAATACTTATCTCATGTTAGGCCTGAAGACAAATGGGTTAGGCGACTTAACAACCATCCCTATACAGTGCTGGTCTAACTTAAATGGTGGTCCTAAACTAAAAAAAAAATGTGGCCCATTTGTAATACAATATTTGTAATTTTTTTTTAACATGTAGGCTTCAAAATTTAGTATATATAAACCATATATCCATTATTTTTGATATATGTGGCCCATAAAAAATTAAAAAGAAAGATGGCTCTAAACAGCAGCTTAGCCCGCTTATGCTCTACGTCGGACCTGTCCCTATTTTACGGTTCTAAAAGACACCAAATTTTTGTTCTATGATTATAGTTATTCACTTATTCTGTCCACCAAATTTGCAATATCTTTGTTTTGGCCAAGTAGTAGTAACTATATGATACATATATAATAAATAAGATACACACAAAGCATATCCACTAATTGATTGCTATGCCAACAGCACATGCAACTTCAGATCCTCAATTAATACCTTTTTTTTTTGTTAAGCTTAAATGTGTACATATTTCATTCACTTAATCAATATCTCTTTGCCCAGAATATATAGTTAAAAAGATTCAGAGTATTAAGAAAAAATAGAAGCACATAAAACAAGTCAAGGCTTGATTTGTTGAGATCTTCTCCTCCCAGCCATTGATGGCCAAGCTTTCCTGTGATTACATTTGTGACCTCCACAAGAAGTGAGCTAAGGAAGAAACCCAAACCAACGGAGCACCATCCCAACGCTACGCTAATGCTCCTCATGCTCGCTGGAGCTTCTATAAAGAAAAACTCTTGCATCCCTCCCAACGTCACTATATCTGAAGATGTTAGCATGAGATACTGAAACAATAGCCAGAAGACAGATATTTTGAAGTCGTTGTGAACCGCCTCGTGCTTTCTCTTGGCTTCCACAATGGCTGAGACCCCCATTGAAAGAGAGGAGAGAGCAAGGCCTAGTCCAATGCGTTTCAAAGAGAAGCTTGATGTTTTGTTGATCCTTTTGCTGAAGAGTTCGTACAAGGGTATGAAAGAAAGCATGAAGATGATGGAGATGATGCTGAGGGAAGGTACGGGGATCTCGAACGAAGGAGAGATTTTTCTATTCATGGTCATGCCTTGTTGTACGGTGAATGTCAATAGTTGTGCCACGCAACTGTTCATGACAATCGTGCTCGCAAAGATTGGTAGGAGACCGAGGAATGTTCTTGTTTCTTCAACTTGTGTTGCGGAAATGTTTTTGTTCAACAATGCTTTATCCAAACACCTGGAAAAGATAATCAAATACTCAAAATCAAATCCAATCTTGATTAGTACAATTAATTTACCGAAAGAAAAGGGTTATTTGTACACACAACGGGAATTCGAACATTCAAGGACACCGAATTTACAGCCAAATCTTTGCCATTTGCGCTAACTTATTCCTTGTGTTTTACAATAAGTGATGTTTTAGCCAAAACAAATTGTTTCATTATAAGTGATGTTTATATTTTGTAATGCAAAACTGTTTTTTTTAACCATTAATATTTTAAGTTTTTTTCTTATTACAGTATTAGTTTAATTTTATTTTAATTAGACACGATAATACATAATATATTAATATATAAAAATTAGTATAAGTTTACGTTATTTCTTAATATGTACGTGGACCTTAATTATTAGTATAGCTTTTGAGGTTGAAAGAGTGCAAAAACAAAATAAAAGACACAAATCTCAAGAGACTTACTTTAACTTATTGTGATGAATGTTGTTGTTATCAGTAGATGTAAGACTTTGCATCATCTCAACATCCAAAAGAGACCCATTCCGATTTCTTGCGGCTGAAACAAACACATTTGCGATCCTTGTCAAGGGACTCCCACTAGGACGTTTCAATCGATAACATGGCAATCCTGCTGCGAAAATGCATTGCGCAATCGCTAGAAACACAACTGAGGCACTGAAAATATCTTTGATCCACTCCATAACGGTTACTGCCATGAGCCATCCGAAGCATAAACAGAAGAAGTACCAATTGAAGAATTTTGAGATGAGACTCTGGTGTCTAGTCTCAAACTGATCGCCTCCATGGGCAAGTAAAGAAGGCTTAGTACCGCCCGTACCAACAGCGATCGCGTAAAATCCGATGTAAAGAACCGTTGATTGAAGAGTCGAAGGTGGTTCATTTCCATGGGGTTGTAGACTAGGGTTATGACCTTGGAGTGTTAACACAGACAAACCCTATATCAAAAGATCAAAGTTTAGGTTAATTGGGTTGTTTCATTTTTCAAATACAAAATTTTGATGGAGTTTTTTTTAATTACCAGGATTTCAAAGGAACAAAAAATCATGTAAGTAGTGGAGCGAGTGAGGAAAGAGTCAGCCACGAAACCACCAAAGAGAGTGAGTAAATACGACGTTCCAATGAAATTGGTCACCATGTTTGCTGCTTCGGCTGATGAGTAATTCATTGGTTTCATGAAATATAACACCATGTTGTTTCCAATAGCTATCGACACCATCGTCTCCACCATCTCCACAACTAAATTTGCCATCGCCAAAGTTATATATATTATGAATATACTGAAAATTATTATTATTCCAAGAAAATTAGTTTCTTTGATGAGTTTTAAGAAGATTTACCACAAGCAATCGAAGCAGCTCTAATGCCACCATGTTTGTCCGGAATCGTCTCTCTCCCCCTCCAATCTTCAATTTTTTCTTCCATCTCATTTTCCATCGCTACGTTAAATGGACTTTTAGTGTTTGATATGTATGTGTTGAAATTTAAATGTGCTTTTTTAAAAAAGTTTGAACTAGACCTCTTTATACTGTAAAAAACATTTACAGATGCGTAGTGTTATCCATATTATTACACTTGTCAAACAATTTTGAAAATAAGGGAAGTTATATATATAAACTAAAAATAATAACAATGACATAAAGATTTTTCTTAAATGTATTAGTTAGTAAAAAATGTAGATAAATAGTCATAATTAATTATCACTATTGTTAGTAAAAAATAGTTATGAAATAAAATGTTTGAGATACGAGATTTAAACCTATATCCCCAAATGTCAGAATATCGTATCTTATGATGCTAATTATAAAATCACACAACTCTATGAATCATCATTCTTACAGGACTAATCTTTTCTATTATGTATACTAAAGGGTGATATGGGATATAATGCTAATTAATTTGAAACAATCAAATGGTTTAGTGTCATAATATCATTTTTAGGTTTTTCAAAAAAATTATAGTACTATAACAAATATTTTAGAAAATTTGAGTAAATATTTAATATTTTAAATAAGACATTAATCAAATTTGTAAATTTAAAAAGTGTATGTTTTTTATTAGAAAAACTAGGATATTGACCTGCACGCATGTGCGGGCATGAAGAATTTTAAAAATATAATTATCTAAATATAATATCTAAATCTAATTTAAATATTTTAATTTTTTGTAGTATATGAAACTCAAGATCAATGTTTTAAATTATAAGACTTTAAATTAAGTAGTAAAATATGATTTAATTTTAACTAAATATTTTTTTATAACAAAAGGTTCATTTATATTTTGAGACAGACTTGATAAATATTAATTAAATTTAGAAAACACAAATATTATTTTCCATGATCAGGCTTTGTAAAACTTGATCCGTTATGTTAGAGGGTCAAATAAGTCAACCCCGTAGATAGCTACCTTCTTCGGATTTGCGGATCAGGCTGCAAATTTTATCTCCTCTGTCTTTGTTTTTGAACAAACATTTTTCATTTTCTTTGTCTTCCTATAATCTTCCTCAATTTAAACCATTATTTCTTCAAGGATTCCGTCATTATTGGTCTCGATCTACTCATATGTGCGATTTTTCTATTTATAATTTTATCAAGTAGACTCTACAAATAATTGCAAGACCATCTTCACTTAAGCATCAAGTGCTTCAATTAACCCTATTGCAAGACATGTTTCAGCAAAGGTTGGATATAAACTCTGTTTACTGTCCTGATATCTTCGAAACATACTGCTCTTCTCTGAACATTTAGCAACATTTTAAAGTAGAAAAGCTCATCATATTCTTCTGAGACTTCTGGAAGGCTGATATCGTAGGGAATATTGCTTTTTCTATTGCAAGGGAGCCACTTCTTATTTTTTTTGATGTCAAACCCATTTGTTTGGAAATTCAGTGTAGCGATAAAATCTTGTTTCATTACACTCACGATTGGAGTCTATACAACCTTCAAGTTTTATTTTAGCCATATTCGATTTAGATAAATAGATTAGTAGAATTGTCATGCCCGCACTTTGAGTTAGGGTTTGATTTGTTTAATACTCATGTGTGTTCAGTGGCGGACTCATGTGTCAACTTGGTGGGTCAGCTGACCCACCCAAAATTTTCAAAAAAAAAAATTTGTTTAGCTCATTTATATAAAACGTGGCCCATGTAGATAGAAGTCATTGTTAATGTTTTTTTTCATTAAATTAGAAACAAATTAACAAATTTAACCTAATTATTAATCATTCATAATCATCATCTCTTCTCTTCCATTACCGATCTGCTTCCAAAATTTAGAGTTCAAAATTCATTCACATTATCAAGTAAGTCATTCATAATTATTGTTTATTTTTCTTTATAACATAGGTATCAATAATTAATAATTTTATGGCTTTTATTTTAGGTAAAAAAGTAATGGACAAGTTTCTGAAAAGAAAAGCTCCAGAACCATCTAGTGGTTCAGATGATTTACCATGGGATCCTGCAGACCGGAAAAAAATCATAGATTATCATCCTAATCAAAGAGATGAGGTAATTCGCAAATACTTGATTAGAGGTCCTTGTCAACCCCGAGGTCATGTTTTTGAACAAAAAATGATAGGAAACACATTGAGGCGATTTAATCCCGCCTGGTTTGATCAGTATTCTGATTGGTTAGAGTATAGTGTGAAGAAAGAAAAAGCTTTTTGCTTGTTCTGTTACTTGTTTAGAGATACTGCTGGAAAAAGCGTAAAAAGCGATGCATTTATCACTGAAAGATTTTCTAGCTGGAATAGGTTTAGAAAGTCTTTTTCAGAACATGTGGGAGCTGTTAATAGCTTTCATAACATTGCAGCTATGAAGAGTGAAAATTTGATGAAACAAGGTCAGTCTATTGGGCATGCTTTGCATAGACAAGATGATATTATGAAAAATGAGTATCCGATTCGACTAAATGCTTCAGTTGATGCTTCTAGATACTTACTGCGAGAAGGATTACCTTTCCGTTGTCATGATGAAGGAGAAACATCTGCTAATAGAAGAAATTTTGTGGAGCTATTGAAATACACTGCTGAACAAAATGAAGTTGTGAGTAAGGTTGTTTTAGAAAATGCTCCCAGAAATAATCAGATGGCGTCTTCGAAGATCCAGAAAGATATTGTGCATTGTTTTGCAGAAGAGCTAGTCAAACATATTATTGAAGATATTGATCATGATGTTTTTGGTTTGCTGGTAGATCAATCAGCAGATATTTCTGATAAAGAGCAGATGGCAGTAGTGTTTCGATTTGTCGATAAGAAGGGGATAGTCAAAGAACGATTCATAAGTGTTATGCATGTGAGCGAGACATCTTCAGCTACTTTGAAATCTGATATTGATTGTTTATTTGCTAAGCTTGGATTAAGCATGAAAAAGCTGAGAGGACAAGGCTATGATGGGGCGAGTAATATGAAAGGAGAATTTAATGGGCTAAGAGCGTTAATCTCCAAGGAAAGCACATCAGCATATTATATCCATTGTTTTGCTCATCAACTTCAATTGGTTGTTGTGGCAGTTGCCAAAAAACACTTTGATGTTGGAGACTTTTTTGATATGATTTCTCTATTACTGAATGTGGTGGGAGCTTCGTGTAAGAGGAGAAATATGCTTCGAGAGAGTCATAAAGAAACTATTGAAAAAGGGAGTTGATGATGGTGAAATCAGTACTGGAAAAGGATTAAATCAAGAGGTTTCTCTTCAAAGACCAAGAAACACTAGTTGGGATCTCACTATAAAACTCTGTTGCGTTTGATTGAGATGTTTTCTTCTATTGTCACAGTACTTAAGTGTGTTGAGAATGAAGGGGTAGAAGATTTAAAAAGACGTCAAGCACATGGTCTTCTCAGATACTTCCATAGAATTGATTTTGTGTTTTATTTGCAGTTGATGCTACACCTTTTAGGACTCACTGATTTTTTGTCCATGGCTCTGCAAAAAAGAGATCAAGAAATCTTGAATGCTATGTCATTGGTGAAATCAATTAAGAGACAACTGCAGAAGTTTAGGGATGATGGATGGGATTCTCTCATGGTTAAAGTTTCTTCTTTCTGCAAGAAACATGAGATTGAAAAGCTTGACATGGAGGAAGATTTCATTGACTCAAGGAAACCAAGAAAAAAATCAGGAGTTACAAATATGCATCATTACAAGGTCAATTGTTTGAATGCTGTTTTAGATTTACAGCTTCAAGAGTTTAACGATCGCTTCAATGAGGTGAACACTGAATTGCTTATTTGTGCTGCTGCTTTATCTCCCATTGATTCGTTCTCTCAGTTTGATCAGTTGAAGTTGATGAAGTTATCTACGTTCTATCCATACGACTTTAGTCCTGGAGAATGCATATCTCTTGAGCAACAGTTAGATATCTACATTGACAATGTTCGAAATGATGAAAGATTTCGTCACTTGATGTATCTTGGGGAACTTGCACGTACGCTGGTAGAAACACGAAAACATATGTCATATCCTTTGGTCTACAAACTTTTGAAGTTGGTTTTGATTTTGCTTGTTGCTACTGCAACTGTTGAGAGATGTTATTCTGCAATGAAGATTGTGAAGACGGATCGACGCAATCGGGTTGGAGATGAGTTTTCGAATGACTGTTTAGTTTGTTATGTCGAGAAAGATATATTCAAGACAATTACAAATGAAACTGTGATCAAAAGATTTCAGGATACGAAAGATTGTAGAGTAGTTTTGTAAAATGTTTCTTATTTCTATGAACTTTTTATATTTTTATATTTAGAATTTTTTTTTGACCTTCGTTAAAAAGATTTCTGGGACCGCCACTGTGTGTGTTGCGATGTTTTCTTATATAAGGATCCGAGTATTTATCTTTTTCATTAGTTATTTGGGATGAACGTGATTTTATATGGATCTTTTTGGTTTTTATTAAATGGACATTAAACTTTTAAAATAAAGTAGAGGATAATGATTTTGGTTTTTCATTAGATCATGTTGATTTTTAGGATATTCAACGTTTGTTACGAAAAATAATATAGAGGATTATTAAATCGAAATCTTAAATTTATATTTGTTATTATTTTTAAACTAAACTAATATTTTTAAATTTTGAAAGTTCTACAGAAGATCACAATAATATCTTATTTTGTTATTATAATTTTGCCAACTAAAGTATGTGAAAACATATGTGCACGTAAATGGAGCACCGCCTTTACAAAAAGTATAAATTATTAGGTAAACGATTTAATCAATGTGATTTTGTTATTATAATTTTGCCTACTAAAATATATAAAAATATATGTGCATCTATTTCATATGAATATAGTATTATAATATATATATATATATATATGTATCTGTATAAAAAGTCACAGTGGTCCACAACAGAGCTATAGTAAATTTAATAGGTATATAATATAGTATTATCTATAGTATTATAATATATATGTATTAAAATCATCACCTTCAGCCCAAAATTCATCTACTATTACTCATGAATAATAATATCAGACCATTCGTAATGTATCCGGCGAATCATTCCAGATTTAATTATTAGTACACTAAATGTTATCATCTAATTAATTTTTTTATTAATGAAAATATCACAAATTTTTTTTTGTCATGTCATAAACCACATGTATTAGTAAATGTCATGTCACAATTACATCATCATTACACATCATCATTTCCATGTCACATTTAATTAGAATAGAGAAAGGATTCTAATCAATCAAATTAAAACAAATAAACCACATGTATTAGTAAATGCCATGTCACAATTACATCATCATTACACATCATCATTTACATGTCACATTTAATTAGGATAGATAAATGATTTTAACTAATCAAATTAAAACAAATCAGTATTTTTCATTAAACTACATTCTCATTTAATAGGTAAAGTATAGCTCTGACAAAAAAATTGGACCTAAAAGCACAAATTGGAATTGATTCAAAATAACTGGTTTGGATCGGGTTTGGTTATTAGATATTTATCTGACAGGTCTTGAATTTGAGAACAGTGGGTATCGATTTGGTTTCGGTTTTTACCCGAAATCGATCGATTACTCAAAACTAAAATACACAATTAATTCATCTTCTCCACCTCTCTTCTTCCTCTTTTCTAAAATCTAAATGACTTTGCTGTCACAATCAATGGTGATTATTCAAGTTGCAGAGAAAAATTAGTGTCCAAACTTCAGTCTCCATTCAAATCGCAAGCATGGATCTATCCTTTTCAAAGCTTATAAAGAAAGCTTATAACTATTGGTTAGTTTGAGATCTTATGGGTTTTGTAGTGGTGTTTTTTAGATTTACTGATATTTCAGAAGTGAATTACCATCACCAGAAAACCAGAGCCGACGTAGGAAAGAGAAGAAGAAGAGCAAAACGAAGAGAAGAAAAAAAAAAGAAAAAGTTGTGGTCAAGTGAGGGTTTTGCAGGAAAATATCATGACGAATGAAAGGGATCCATAAGTCAGTCTACATACGGTTTTGAAGATCTTGTAGTCAGCTATTCAAATCTTCTTTCCGTTATCGATTCTGAGTTATATTTGATCCGGAAATCAGTTCGTAAATTAATAAAAATTTATATATTTTTTTCTAGAAAATTTTCAATTTCAGGTATTTGATTATATTTTGGGTATATGGTTACAATTTCAACTATTTTGAATTTAAACGGGTAAGTTTCATGCAATCCAAACCGAACTAAAATTATCAAATAACTATTTTATTTCAGGCTTTTTTATGGTTTTCAAATTTTAGATCCGAACCGACTAAGAACCGAACTGAACCCGGCTCGAAATCATTTTGGTACATATATGGATACAATCTTTTCTTACCTGAAAGAACCAAAATCGACTGGATCATATCCGAACCGATCTGAATACCCGAATGCCAAAAACTAAGAAAATATACCAAATATCGAAAGTTAAAAGGGATTTTAAATAATATATAAAGATTAAGGAGTATGGACCATTCTATTTATTGCCAATTGGCTTTTACGTTGATAACCTATGTCATTTAACATGATTTTAGAGCTTGATCCACACAATTTAGTATAATCTATAATTAATATATGATGCAAACATAATAAATCAATCATTGCCCAAACATTATCGAAATAATAGTCAAAATAACCATCAGATGTATATTAAAAAATATATCTTATATCAAAAATTGAAAAAGATATTAAATAATATATAAAAAGTATGAATAATTGATTTTGGATTAGAAACCATGTAATTTAACATTTTTTACCTTTAGCAAGACAAAACTATTGATACACAGTAGTAGAGTTGGGCTTTTGGTATAATGAACTTTTTGACAAAAAAAAAGTTAAATAAAAACTTTATATTAGTAAACAAAGAAACACGTACGTGTAAAATAAAATTAACCGTAATTACTGTATCTTCTTTCTGTAGACGCTTCTTGTAAAAATTGGTCGCTGCTTGATGTCGTTGGATAATTTAACAAACAGCAATTTTTCAAAATAATTTTTCTTTTCTTTAAATCGCCGATAAGGTCTTAGGAAATTTGGTGGATAATATCTTTTTTTCTTTTCTTTTTGGCAGATAATGTGTGATCACAACATATTCTCGTTTCTTTTTTTCTATTAGAAAAGGAATTCAACATGTGAAAGGAAAAGGATTAAGACTTTTCTAGTTCTATAAAACCATGACTACTTCAATGAATGAACATACAAAAACTTCTTATCTGAGAACAAGAGTTGCTTCAATGGAGACCACAGTTTCTGAAATCAGCATACATATGCATGATCAGAAAAATACTTGCGGTATCTGTTTCAATGATGATATCGAAGCTGAGCAGGTGTTTCCCCGTTGCTTTATGCTATCATCAGTTCTGCGTGGAATGCGTGAAAAAACATATAGAAGTGAGGCTACTCGAGGGAACTATACCGAGATGTCCTCATTATCAATGCGAGTCTAAGCTAACTCTTAGAAGCTGTGCCAGTCTTTTGACACCTAAAGTAAGAGCGTTGTGGGCACGAATGATCCAAGACGAATCGATTCCTGTGACAGACAGAGTTTACTGTCCGAATCTGAGGTGCTCGGCATTAATGTCAAGAACCGAGATCTCTAAATCTACTGAGCAAGATGGATCTATGAGATGCTGCTTCAAATGCGGTAAACCCTTTTGCATCAGCTGTATAGTCTCGTGGCATAGTAACTTGTCGTGGGATGATTACAAGAGATTGGGTCCATATCCTACAACAAATGATATGTTGCTAAAAGTTCTAGCAAATCAGGAGAAGTGGCGTCAGTGTAGAAAGTGCAAACACATGATCGAACTTTCCGAAGGATGCAGCAAAGTAACTTGCAGGTAACGTTATCATATTTGAATCGCACATTCTGTTGAAATTTGGATATACGATTATGTTTTCAGCGTAATTAACATTGTGATCTCAATTTGGATTGGTAGATGTGGGAATACGTTTTGCTACACGTGTGGAGCTGAATGGAAGAAAGGAGGTAGAGGTTGCACACATCAACCAAAGCTTAATATGGAGGCTCGAATTTTCATTTGTTTAATATATATTGTTTGTGCGATCATACTTGTTATTTTAACGAGAAATCGAGAGATATGAGAGAAAACCTAATTAGTCTTCTTCTTCAAAGTAGTGTTCTCCTTCTAGGTTTTTTTTTTTCTTTAAATCAAAAGGGCTTTCAAAGATTTCTTTTTCTCACATGAGGGACTAGCTTTTGTGGTAATCAATTGCTTGTGTCTTAATGGCATATTCTCTTACCGCTGCAAAGCAAATCAAGCCATCCAATTTAATCTTAAACTCAACAAAAAGCTTTAAAAAGAGATAAAAAAAAAGTCGTCAAAAATTTATGACAATATTAAAAAAATAAAAAGATAGTAATTAATTTTTGGCGAATGTGTGAAGAAGAATTTAGATAAAAGAATAAAAAAAATAAAAGTAATCCGAAATTAGAAAGTTTAAAAATTGGAAAGTAGTTTGTTCAAAAAAGTTGTTATAACAAAAAAGAATTTCTTCTGATGAATTTTTATTTGGATGAATTTGTTGAATAATCAAAAAAAATATATAATATAGAAACTAACCAAATGCTTATAGATTATAGATTTTTTTTGGCTATTGAATCAAATTTCTCTTTTTATTTTCTTATCCAACTTGCATTACAGTGTCACAGCGACTTAAATTTTAAAATTTGGAGACAAACGGGACGATTTCGAAAGCGAAGGACCTGCCATGGAGATCACTGATTCGGTTCTTAAACTTCTTCTACAAGTAAGTTACCGATCATCTTCACCACTTTCTGCACATTTCCCTGATCGATCTTTCTCCGTTTTCATCGAATTCGATTAGGCGTTTTCTTTCCCCACCTTAAAATTTTTCTGTTCTGGGAATTCGATTTCTGCAGTTGGTCTCGTCAGCGTTTCAAAGATGCAGATTAGCAGAAGATCTCTGTAGATTATCAGTTCTTCTTGATCAATCTACAGGAAACGACCCTCCGATTACATGTATTTCGAGTAATACATCTCTCTTTGGCCCTAAAATTTTGTTCAGATTCTGCGTCGCTCTCGACGGTAAATTGGATCTGCGATCGCTAATTTGGTCTCGTATCTATCTGTTTTTGATTCTGCTTACAGTTTCGGATACGGGTATTGGATGCAATTTGAAGGAATTTCAGGATCTTAGGTGCCCTAGAGAATTCAATGGAGCGAAGTTTTGGGGTCAGCATCTTGGGTTTTCGATTATTGGAAGTTAACTATCAAATTCTAGTTTAAAATCAGCTTTCGACAAGTTCGAGCTGAAAATTTAGTTTCCCTCTCTGTGTTAAAGCGATTCTGACTATGGCATATTGTGACGCAGATGGGTTACTCTCCGTCAAGACGACTTGTAAGTTTCGTCTCTCTGAATGATACCTTTCTGAGTTATGTGATTGAGTGTTATGTGTCTAAATACGAAATTGAGTTCTCTTATTTTGAGTGGAAATTTTTGAGTCACTAAAGAACCAATGTGGAGATTTGATTGTTCTTCTCTTATTCTCTCTTCCACTGTGCTGATGGAGTTGCAGGCTTCTCTGACGATGAGGTATACTGTTATCATATAAATCTTGATGAGAGTATATCAAACAAAAGACAGAAAAGGCAAGCTTCTCAGGCTAAGAATGGTGCAAATTTTAGGTGTGCAACCCTTTTTTTTATTGATTGTGAAGCCACTGAGACTGCCTTGACGTATGAATTTTTCTTATTTTTGTGTGACTTTCAGTGGGACGGAAGTATCCCTGAGCGTCTTTGGAAGTATGGATGTTCTTGTGGCACCGATAACTAGCTTCTTTCAAAAGGTCTCCCTTCTCTTCCGCATCCTTGTTTCTCTTATTCATACTTATGCTCAACTGGATCAAGAATGCTTATTGGTAGTTAGTGTACAGAATATGAGACACAACATTACAAAAACACTGCTAACAACTTGTTATAGAACCAAGATAAAGAGCAAACATATCCCATCTCTAAAGTGGGGAAGAACGGTTCTGAATTTCAATGGGAGTTGGTCAGGTTAAGATGACAATTTATGTTTGAAATCTTTGAAGGTCGCTCTTTAGCTAACCATTAATTAAATTACTACTTTCATTAGCTCAGTGAGTGGCTCTGCGTCATAGGTTATAGGTTACCGAAACTTTTTTAGTGGTTTGTTTAAGCCTTTCGAGCTTTGAAAATTGATGAGTTAACTTGGGTTGTACTGAGCTTCATCAACTTTAGTTCCCTCATGATTGCTTAAATTATTATGTAATGATATCTCTACCCTGTTATCTTGCAGATGCTTGTTCTGCAGATACCTGTAAGTTCAAGCTTCTCCCTTTGGTGATTAGACAACTTTCTTTACAAAATTATATTCCCCAGTTATACACAGTACAATTTAGTAACAGAGCTCCCAAATCATGGAACTAAAAAGCTGGTTCTTTTCTTTCTCTCCAGAATGTCACAATGGATCTCATAGTTAATCAAGTGGAGAATTCTCCAGGTACTCAAACGCATTACGTCTTTGTAGTAAACGCTGAGAAAACTCCTTGCTTCACTGCCTCCAATCTTGAACGATTGAAGTCGGGTCTTGAGGACTATGTCTTAAGGCATCGGAACTGTTTGGATATAATGTGTGAACATTGCTTCTCTGATAGGTATATAATATGTAACACCACTCTTGTTCCTAAAACATCTACTGCTGGAAAATATATCCAGTCATTCCACGTTAAGTCTGACAAGTCTGGTTATACTTTAAAATACTTTCAGAGAGCATCTAAAAGTTGGAAGCGGAACAGCATGCTCTGAAGAAAATCGTAAGAAAACTGGTGGGACAATGGAAGTGGTGATTGTAATAAGTGACTTATTAGAGACAACTCGCAGTTGCAGCAGATCATGTGACGGCAAAACAGAGGTCTATTCAGTTCTCAGATTAAAACATCATAATGACATGTAATGTATATTTGGTTTGATCTTAAAATGATTGCTTTCTCCAGGTTTTATACTTTGACAATTTCTCACCTTCCCCTATTCCACAAGCTGCCTTGAGTGCATTGAAAAAGATTGACTGGAAAAGTTACGGCTTGGTCCTGGCGAGTGTGAATGATCAAGATGGACATGTGTTTCTCGAATGGGAAAATTTCCCTTCGTACGTTCAAATACAAATCGTCCTGCATTGGTATCACAATCAATATCCAACAAGACAGAGGACTGAGCCTGGTATAAATCTTGTGAAGAAAGGAATTAAAAACTCGCTGAATGATTTAAAGGCTAAACATGAGGGGTTTCTTCTAAGCTCACATGCTCGTAAGGTGCTTTCTCGGTCAACCTCATTTGAGAACTGCTAGTGTCAATCTCTTAAATTTCGAGAACTTTGACCATGTTGTTGTCTATCTTTCTTAGATTTGCAGCTATGTCCCTGACCTTGCAAGATCAATAGCAGGCCTAATATTCTCCTCCACTGACATTGACTTCCAAGGAGATTGCTTATCTGTTCTTGGATTTCAACCTCAAGAAGCTGAACGTGATGCTGTTGAAGACTATATCCAGAGAAAGATCGTGACGGTTATAGGAATGAATGAGAGGAAACCCCAGAAAGACCAAGAAGCTGCTGCTTCTTTTCTGTTTTTTGAAGGCGACTCTGAGACATCATATTTTGAAGATGAGGAAATAGAATGTGAGTATTACTCTACCACGCTGGAATGATAACGGTATACATTATGTGATATATGTGTATCTCTTATAGCTTCAGATGTTTCCACCACGGGATGAGAATGTTACCTCATGGTTTAGAACATACATTCTTCACAGAAACCTTACTTCATCTATGTTAAAAAGTATTGTTATGTTCTTGAGATAGAAGTTTGTCCAAAGCAAATAACACATTTTTGCATCATTTACTTTTCTGTTTGTTTTCAATCAGGTTTCGATCAAGGACATTCCCTGCATTGATGCTATAAAAACTACTGGCTTAACAAGATCATTCAAAAATTGTCAAAGTAAAGTTGTTTTACATGATATAGTGACTACATGTGTGATTTTACATAACATGATAAGATAATTGAGGATGAACGTTATCTCGAAGCACCAATTGGAATTGAAAGATGAATTGTACCTTCAGACATCCAAATAGTAAATGATGGTAATATCTGCTTTCAAGAGTTTCTTTTTCATTTAGAAAAATCAAAGATAAAAGAGGTTCATTTTTCACTTTGAAATGAATTAGTTAATTATTTATAGACAAAATTCAGTAATGGTAATATTTTAATAAAAATTTCCTATGTTTAAAATGATATTCTGTAATTTTCTTTATTTAATAGATATTTACTTTATAATTTATAAAAGTTTTTCAAATAACAAAATAAATAGTGTTTATTTGTTTAGAAATCAAAGATATTAATAATAAAACAGAAATTAAATCTATATGCGAAAATGTATAAGAGAGAATAGAGAATTGTGGTTTCTTTTAATTGTGAGAGACCTCAGGTTGTTGGTTTTAATTGTGAGAGACCTCAGGTTGCTGGATAGTTTCTTTTAGTGAAGGCAAATTGATATTTTATAGGAGACTCCTTAGATTAGCAGCAAGATTAGAACCAGAAGAACCCAAGTCTTTCAGCTTGTTCTAGTCATTCTCTTCATAGAATCCCTTTTCCTCATCAATCTTGACATCTCTAGAGACAATGAGTTTCTTGGATTTCGGATTGTAGTACTTGTTGTCTTTTTGTGTTGTGGAGTAACCAATGAAGATACACTTAGTTCTTTTTGGCTGAACTTTGTTCCTTTCACTATCTGGAATGTGGGCATAGCAAACACAACCGAACACTTTTAAAAAATCAACAGAAGGTTTTGCTTTGTTGAGTACTTCATATGGTGAGATGTCATTTATACATTTAGTTGGAAGCCGATTGATGAGATAACAGCATCACCCCAGTTATGTTTTGGAATATTTCTGTCAAACATCATAGTCATGACAACCTTCATAAGGTGATGGTTCTTGAGCTTAGCAACACTGTTTTGTTGAGGAATATAAGGATAAGAAGTCTGATCAGCGATTCCTTGCTTGGCGGTGAAGGATTTAAACTCATGACTGGTGTATACACCTCTATTGTCAGTCCGTAAGGTTTTTTATCTTTGCATTGTATTGAAAGCCTCAAAAACACAACCTTTGAAGGCAAAAGAGTTAGCCATGTACTTGGATTTTTCATCAATAAAAGTAAAAAGTACTTATATTTATTTCTTGTTTCACAAGAGACAGTCCAAACATCAGAATGAATAAGATTAAAGCAATTCTCATAAGTAGAAGAAGAATTTGGAAAAACAGTTTTACAATGCTTTCCTAAGATACATGATTCACACTTATCTATCTAAAAAGACACATTTAGAGGAAGAATCTTACGAGCTTTAGTATGAGGATATCCTAGTCTAGCATGATGTACTGCATTATTAGCAAACTCAAGAACAGAAACAGAATTGAAATCTTCTAGAACTTAAAGACCATTATTTGTAGATCCTTCTCCAATAGTCTTTTCAGACTTAATATCATGAAAACCAAAGATCATTGGGGTAATTGCTGAATATAATACAAAAGTTGGATTTTTCTAAATGTACAGACCTTCTATTGAATGTTTGGCAAAACTAACATAAAAAAATAGTGAAATTACAGCTCAGTCTCTTATGAATAAACAAAAAACATCTATCACATTTACGATTTTATCTCTGTGAAGTCTAGTTACGAAGTCTACTATTGTAGACTGCTAAAGAAGTCTACTTTTGTAGATTGGCAAAGAAGTCTACTACGGAATTATTTTTAATTTTTTAATTAGAATTTTTTTTTAAAAAAAAACAATAATTGGTAGACATAACTAAAACATATATATTCAGTATCTACAGAAAATAAAATTTCATACAAATGAAACAATTTTAATGAAGAAAGACAAATTAGATTAGAAAACAATACAACCCTCAGAAGTCTACTATAGACTACTAGATAACTAAAATTTTAATTTTGCTTATTAGAATTATATAAAAAAATTGATAAAAAATTATAAACATTAACAAAACATAGACAATTGGCATCTGTTTTAAATAAAATATCATGAAAATAAATCAATTTATAAGTTTCATAATTATAAAGTTGGAAAGGGTTAGCGTTTAAGGTTTAAAAGGGTTAGGGTTTGAGGTTCAAATTGTTAGGATATAAGAATGCAATTGTTAGGGTAAACCCAAATTCTATATGAATCATTGTTTATGGTTTGGTTCATGATTTAGGGTCCATATCTTTTTTTTTATTTTAACAGTAAATTGTTATTATGTTAACAAAATTAATGTTTGATATAAGTTTTAATCAAAAATATTTGATGGTTAAGAAGACTTTGTGTGTAGACTTCAATAGAACTCTGAAGTTCAAATTAAACCTAGCGGGAACCGGACTGGATTTGTTGGTAATTAAACAATTTCACTAGTTATGTAGACTTCGGGAGACTTCTTTTGTAGACTTCAAAAGAAATCTAAAATTCAAATTAAACATAGCGAGAATTTGATTTTTTTTTTTAACTAAATGGACGGGAACCAGACTTTGAAAGTAGACTTCTCTCGAGTAGATTTATATTACACATCAGACTTCTCCAGTAGACTTCGTTTGTAGACTTCAAAAGAAGTCGGCTTAATCGAAAATTTCCCTACATGTATAAAGAGAGTTTATGATACAATCCTCAAAAGCTTAAGGAATGTGTTTTAGAACATATTGCTTTAAGCTTGATAGAATGGAAGAGAAGACTGGTGATTTTATAGCCTTGTTGATGCTTGATGACCTCAAACACCAAGTATTAGACTCTTCTCAGCTCAAGGGCTAATCCTCACAAGAGCTTAGGAGATTCTACACGAAATTCTATAACGTTGAATCCTCAAAACACTTAAAGAAATCGCAGGAACAATTTGTAAACAAAGATGAACTTTTCTTTGAAACAAAATACTTTGTTTAATTTCTTGAATATTCTGAATATCAAATACACTGAAAATGAGCTTATATAATGCTCAGAAAGATAAATAAAAAACGGTAACAAAGTTAATAAAAACTTAACATAAAGTATGATAATTATAGCTTAAGTGATGGGATTATGATATCCTAGCCATTGGTCTTTAAGGGAGGAGAATGCTTGATTGGTGTGACGAAATGGATCTTTGACTGACTTGTAGGGACGTTTAGGATTGTCTTTTGAGGATAGAGGCCCCAGATTGAGTGAAGGATATGGTCGTTGGTGAGCCTTTCCTTTGACAACCAAGTAATTGAATCCGAATAAGGCAAGTTCTTTCATGGTGATATCTTCTTGGTTCTGGTTTGATTGAGCTCGGCTATTGACTTGGTTAACTGATTCTCCTTTTTTGATATCTTCTTGAACCGTCAAATAATGTGAATAAAGTGGATTGATAGAATATAAACCCCTGCTTTTCACAGATGATTCCAATAATGCTCCATTAACTTGATTTGGCGGTTTTGGTGGTTCTCCTTGGGTTTGAATAGAATAACTCCGGTTTTTGACTTTTATATTGGCTTGTATATATTCTGAAGTCTTCTGAGAATGTAGAATAAGAGGGTGAGTCGAATGAAATGTGCCTCTTCTCCCAGTTTCCTTAAACGGCTCCAAATTGGTTCTAGGCACCTGATTTGATCTTCTAATGGTTTGATCCTGGTTCTCTTCTGATTTAAATAAAACCAGCGGTTCCTTTGGTTGTATAAAAGATTCCTCTTGAGAAATAAATCCCTTTTGGCTCGTTGATACTCCTTTGAACCCTCTTGAATCCTCAGCTGCAAGCAATGCTTCTCCTGGTTTAGTTCCTTTGCTCCTTTCCTTGCTTGCTCCAATTGTATGAGCTTTGATGCTTACATCAGTTTAACTTAATTGTGTTAAAAATAATCTCTCTCTCTCTCTCTCTCTCTCTCTCTCTCTCTCTCTCTCTCTCTCTCTCTCTCTCTCTCTCTTTCTCTCAAACAACGCATCTCTCTCCTCATCCTCCTCTCTGGCCATGAATCTCTTCTCCTTCCTCCCTTGCCGCCAATCTCATCTCCATCCCCTTTTCTTTGCCTTCAACCTCCTATCACTTCCCGGTTATGGTAGTGGTAAACAAATTTGAGATTTTGTGTTCTTTTTTTTTATATTTGGTTTGTGTTCATATTACCAATCTGAGCTTATTATTACATATATGAGCTTGTTATTATAGATCTGAATTTATTTTTCCAGATTTGAACTTATTGTTGTATAAATTTTGTAGATTTTGTTACAGATATGGATTTTTGTTTTTTTGCAGACTTGGATTTTGTTGCACATCTGAATTTTGTTGCAAATCTGAATTTTTTGTTGTTATTGCAGAGTTGAATTTTGTTGACTTTGCTGCAGATCTGAATTTTGTAAATATAGTAGATTTTGTTGCAAATCTGAATTTTAACATTTCTTTTTTCTTATTATTGCAGATCTGAGCTTATTTATATTTATGGTTTTGTTCTAAAGATCTCAACAAAGCTCTTACTTGTCTCTGCCGGATTTAAGTGATGTTAAGGTTCAAAACGGTGATTATATGGTGTCATTGGTCAGAATCAGACTTCACCGCAGACTTCAGTTGCAGACTTCTCGAGCAGACTTCAGTCACAGACTTCTCGAGCAGACTTCAGTCGCAGACATCTTTTCAGACATCTTTAAGATTGATTTCCTATGCCAATTTTAAGATTTATTATTAGCGATCCTTAAATGTTTGTTTGAAGAGGGTCTACTTTATATGTAATGTTGGATTGCATTGAACGTTTTGAATCATATTCCTAAATTATGTGTCTTTATGTATTAATGAAAAATAGTCTTCTGAAGTAAATTTCTTACTCAGTCTTCTTCCTTAACATCTTACTCAATCAACACCATACTTCTTCCTTGAGATCTTATAGCTTAGTCATCATTCAACATCCTTGAACCCTTAGTAACAAAAGAAAATTAATTGAAATTTAACTATAAGAAACAAGCATGTAAAACTCATACATAAGTAAGATCAATAAATAATACAAACTCTTAGAAATAACACTAGCCACATT